TAGATAAGCTGGGATGTAACAAATTGGTGTCAAAAGTGGGATGCTGTCTTCCTTGCTAACGAAACGAGTTTTCCTTTCTCTAAGTTTCTCTAATTCGGCTGCAATGAACGATGCTCTTCGATCGTGCGAAAGGGGACGAGAAACCTTGCAAGCTTTCCTCGCTGAACATCCAGAATTGGAAAACGAGCCTGAGGAAAATTTGGAACAAGCATCTCCGCCGCGTCCTCTCACACTGCTTTCAAAAGAACAGCTCGCCGAACACGAAACTTACGACTTAGGGGAATATAAAATTAGTTACCCTTCTTCTACTGAACGACTTGATACGATTATGGATAAAATGAAATCACTAGCTACATCAGAAACTTTTGGCTATTCGAGGCATGGCCACCCTCCGAAACGAGAGCCAACACCACGATCACAAGCAAAATGCGAAGTAACCATTTCAGAATCAACCCTTACATTTACTTCAGATAATTATGTCCATTTTATACGAGCCGATTGTATATTAACCAGTCAAATAAGTAAAACTTTCAAAGCACTGGGCTTACTTCAGGAAGCGAGCCTATTAACGAAAGATTTAATAGAAGGACAAGTAATAATTGTTCCTTACGAACAAGGAAAAATCCTTAACGTCATCGGAACAAAAAGTTTCTTCCACGAAATAAATGAATCAAAATTAGAACGCTTGCTAATCGTTCTCCGAACTACGATAAAGAGAGAGAGCATTAGCTCGTTCCGAATAGGAGCACACGGTGAAACCTTACACCGTTTCAACGCGAATATCCTTAAATCGCATTTAGAAGAAATATTCTGGAATATACCAACAAAAATTACAGTATGCACAGGGAAAATTAAAGTGCCCGAGGAAGATCAACGCGAGGATATCATCCGATATTATCACGAAATTTTAATAGGGGGACATAAAGGAGTAACAAAAACATATCAGCGAATACGAAGTCACTTCGATTGGCCGCGAATGCGTCGTGACATGAAAACTTCATACGAAATTGCCACAGTTGTCAAGAACAAAAGCTCGTTCGCATAAAAACGCGAGAACCAATGCTCATAACGGATACGCCAGCAAAGCCGTTTGATAAAGTGGCTCTTGACACTATTGGTCTTCTCCCTATAACCCCCAGCGGAAATCGGCACATTTTAACTATGCAATGCCAACTTTCAAAATTTTGTATAGCAATTCCATTACCGGATATTCATGCTGTTACCGTCGCTGACGCCTTCTCACGCTATTTTATCACAATTTTCGGAACACCGCGTACTATTCTGACCGATCGCGGGAAAAGTTTTATCAATAATTTAATACAGGGCATAGCCCGCGTCTTTAGAATAAATCACGTTACAACATCCGGTTACCGCCCCTAGACAGACGGTTCACTAGACACAAAGCCACATCGTTCTCACTGAATATTTGAAACACTATTTGGAAAGATACGAAAACTGGGATCTTCTATTGCCCTTTGCAACCTACTCGTACAACATTTCGGTACACGAAGCAAATAATTTCACTCCGTACGAAGTAGTATTCGGTCAGTTAGCTAGAGACCCATTTACGCCGTTGTCTCGTAACGAAATTCTAACTTACCCATCATATGTAGAAAATTTGGTACAGCGCTTAGACGAAATTCGGTCAATAACACGAAAAAATATAGATGACATAAAATTACGTTCCAAGTTATACTACGATCGTAAAAGTAACGAAGTTAAGTTCAGACCGAATGACCTTGTCTACGTCCTAAAAGAACCGCGAATAGGGAAATTCGATTCCCATTATGAAGGACCATTTAAAATTTGCGATATCACGGAACAAAATAATGCTATTCTAATGAAGGAAAATGGTCAAAAATTCATGAAACACTTCGATAAGTTAAAACATGATCATACTTAGTATCGGTTAGTAATAGGCGATACGGTAATAAAAAGCTTAATAAGTTAAAACTTTAGAACCTTGCCAACTTAAATAACAGATCTAAAACTAAATAATAGAATTGATAAACAAACATAGCAAGATTGATAACAATTTTGTATTAATACAACGCTCGAGTTCTTCACATCTCCAATGTCCGACGCGCATGCCGCTCGTGCCGTCAGCACAGACACCAAATTCGTAGAACAATAAATTCCCGAAACACCTGACCGCTGATTATGTGCTGACCCTTGTTCAATGTCGTGAAAACAGTACCGGAAACGAAATTTATTTCAATTTATTTAACAGCGCAGAATGGAAAATTTCTCAATCACAGGAATGCTCTGCTACATCCTATGGGTATTTAGCACAGCCGATGAGATCGAAGGAGATTATGAAATTACACCTTTCAAAAGTAACCCAGGCTTGTTCTATGAAGAAGAATTACCTATTAGGATTTTTCACGCAAAATGTAAAGTAGTAACAGCCCTAGGTGTTCAAGATATTCTCGATGCAAAGCCAATTATTCTACCATAAATGAAAAGAATCAAAACACTTTGTGACAATTACAGCTGGACATACTGTCCTGCGGATACAATTAGAATCGATTAAACATGAAAATTATCAGATGCAAATCAGTACGAGCAACTTTTACGTAATAGTCTAACAAAACCAATGCCCACAAAATCACAAAGATCAGCACCTTTGGGATTTATCGGTACAATTAGCAACGTCCTTTTTGGAACGCTTACAGAGGACGACGCAAAATATTATAACCAGGAAATAGACAAAATTTATAAAGACCAAAAACACTTATCAGAACTATTGGGAAAACAGACGCACATTGTTAGATCAGAATTCCAAGACATTCACCAAGACCTAATAAAACTAAGGAATTCTTCCTTAATAATGGATAACAAAATAAAACAGTTAACAGCAGGTCTGCTTAAACTCGATGAAGTCGAGACAGGGATGGAGTTACAAAGAGCCTCAACGTCTTGGACGTATCAAATATCCAGACAAATGGACGAATACCTTCAGGCTTTACTAATATTGACAGACGCAACAATGTTTGCTAAATTAGGAATGTTACACCCAGCTATATTATTACCCGATGAACTCGAGCTAACATGTACCAGTATTAAACAATCAACACCATATGAATTTCTCCTCTCCTTAACAGAACTACGATCAGAAAGATTTTATAGAATAATCATAATCAGCACAATATATTCAAATGGAAGAATGCTCATATCAATCGAAATTCCCCTCCTAGATAAAGCACCCTTCAACCTATATTGGCTACATCCATTACCATCCTTTTTACCAATTTCACATAACATTTCCAGTGCCATGCTCATTGTACCACAAACCCCATACTTCGCAATCGATGACACTCATAAGGAATATCTCTTGCCAACGGAAAGCTTCATACAAGGATGCAAGATTCACCCCATCAAATACATCTGTCAGCTTACATTGCCATTATATAGCCTAGAAGAAGCACCAATTTGTAAAACTGACCTTCTTATTCAAAAACGTATAATAGGATGGAAAAATTGTCACATAAGATCATTAAAATCAACCGGCATATTTATCAATCAACTCAAAACTACAAACACATGGCTATACTCTGTCAAAGAGAAACTCCGATACAAATCAAATGCAATTACCGCGCCGCAGGCTACGAACTGATACAAGGACCACGAATTTTAAAACTAAAAAAGAATTGCCAAGCACAAATAAATAATTCAAGAATGATTGCATCAGAAGAAACAACATCTAAAGTAAACTCGACATTTAAACAACTATCAAGCCTAAATATAACGCACCTGATACCACAGATTACACCTCATCACATACAAATTATATCCGATTATCAACAACAAGAAATACCGCTAGGACCATTTTATGATAAAATAAACGAGAAATCAATTGCCTTACTAGAAAACGAACAACAAGCAAATAATGTAGCGACGCATCATCGTACGCAAGGATTAACATCTTATTCAACCTATGTAATATCCTCGATAGGGATACTAATTATCATAATTGGCATAATATGGGTTGTTACAAAATTTTATAAGAATCGTTGTTCAAAACCCAACATAACATCAAAGAAACCAATTGAACAAATAGAGATGGGAACACTACAACATAGGAAAACAGAAAATTTAGCATCACCTTATATACAACCGACGATCTCGCCACCGTTTTACATACCACCAATTCCAAGAAGTCCACCTGCACTCACAGCAGACCTCACGAAAAAAATCAGGAATGTCCACCTCTACTAAACCGTACAGGTAAAGACGTAATATC